GTAGTAAACAATGATATCAGGAAGTGACATCTTGTTCTACTGTTCATGTGATCACTGATTCGCCAATCGGTGATCACATGAATTGGGACCTCACACAGCGGTCCCGTACAGTGATCTGTGTTTCGGTGGACACAGCGGGCACAGATCGTGGCGCTGCATGCTCCCATGGAACTGTACTAAGCCAAGGTTTCATTTGACTTAAAGTGTTACTAAACCCACAACAGTAAAATCAGTCTGTATATGCAGTAAAACATGCTTTTTATACTCACTGTGGAACCTAAAAGGTTAATCCTCCACATTGTGTAAAAAGGATGTTTGATTCTCTATTCTCTGATCCTCATCCCTTCTTTCCAGTGTCTCCCAAATATCTCCAGATAGAACAGAGGCTAGGGGCACAGCTGCACATTCTCAGTTTTTGGTGTGTATTGCTAGAGAGCACTGTCCAACACAGAGGGCAGAGGTCCTGTATCCAGCTACAGAGAATGAAAACTATTGCTACAAGCTGTAATCGGTGCTCTTCTGGACACTGATAGAAGTCACACGACTGCTCTAAGTGCTGATGAGAAAAAGTATTTAGCAGTTTACATTTACTAAAAAAATTGCATTTCCATTCTGTGTACTGTGGGAGACCAGATATAGTGAATGCAGGGTCCTGGGTTTAGTAACACTTTAAATAGTCTGGCGGGTCCCTTTGACAACAATGTCTGCTTTATTTCTTGTTCAAGTATATTTTTGACAGAAATAAAATGTGCCATAAGCAGTCAAAAACACATCACATAAAATGGATTATGCTTGATTTCCAGGAGTAAGAGCTATACCTGACAGTAAGTTTACAAAATGGCAAAGTATGTTCTGTGCTAGTAATTACACTTGAAATGGCACAATGTTAAGTGTTAGCCTGGCTCAAAAGTCAAGGAAGCAATTGCTTTCACCTTCTTTAAACCCTATTACTTTCTGATATACACTGGTGGAAATTCTCATTATTGTTATCAATTCTTCCACAGAAATACTGATTAAGGTCTCAGAGGCTGAGCACTATGCTGAAACTATCCACTTTTAATGGTTATCTGCAGACTTTTTCCATTTCCTATGCACAATGGCATATTGATTGTAAAGAAGCTGTTATACTTTACTAAGATAAAACGAATGGTCTATAAATACTAACTAAAACATATTTTTACACCTACTGAAACATTTCTATAATGACACGCTAGCTCATTCAAATGGCCATATCGATAAAAAATATAATTGTGAGTTCTGAGCATTTGAAGTGTAGCTAAAGCTAAAATTGTATTTTATTAGCTTTCATAACAGTAGGAATGTTTTAGGGCGCCTGCCAGGTTTTTATTGCTGTCAGTGTCCCCACTGGAGAGATTCACCATTTCTATTTGTCTTGGTGATTTTTGTTACTGGGACAGAAATTGGGGGGAAATCCAAATCTTTAAGGTTGCCATTTTCCACAACTGCTAAGAAGGCTTTCCCCTTATTTTGGATACATTTCTTTCTATATGGCTCCACCAGATGTCTAAGGATAACAGTTGGCATGTTCATGTGTCCACGGTAAAGGACAGACTGTCTACAAATGGAGAAAGTTTAGCACTGTTGCTACTCTCCTAGGCGCGGTCGTCCTGTAAAAATGACTGCAAGAGCACAGCGCAGAATGCTGCATGAGGTAAAGAAGAATCCCAGAGTGCACATGTATTATCCAGTTAAACTGGGCTACACTTGGGGATCCCCTTAAAGGGGAGCAATTTTCTGTAGGCTAAATATCAAGAGCACTTGGCAGTCAGGATACATAGTGTATATATTTTATTACACAAGGACAAAAGCATAAAGCATTGCTGTAACGTGAAGTTTGGAGCCACATAGGTCTTCTATCACATGTGACTTTTGTACTACTTAGCATTGTCAGAAAGCAGAACATTTTTGACATGCACTTAATGAATCCATCAGGAACGTTAAGAAGGATCATGGAGAACCACCTATGTACTCAATAGCCAATAACTCTAGTCAACAACAGTTAAGTGCAGTGTGTCAAATTTCCAATTATCTGCACACATGACACACCAGATATATTTTCTCAAATGCTTAAAAGAAATGGCACACTGCACCTCTCAGATCTTCTCTCATAAAGATTTGTATGTCAAGGCAAAATAAAAATAAAACATATGCTGTACATACATATTTGTCTATGTTTTATCCCTTTACAGACCCTGCAAGTACAGAACAATACATGGTGATCTGCCAGAAATGATCTCAGCTCTTGAAGTTACACTAAATGATAACCTTATTCTCCAAATAAAATCCATACACATCCTCGACTGAATGACCTTGTAATTGATTCTTCATTAAATTGTTTCTCACCATGTTTTTCTGAGTATTACAAGGAGGAGCGTTACAACGGGGACACTGAGCTCCCAATCCTCTTGTCTCATTAATTGTGGTCATGTAACTGCTCTACTGCATGTAAACTATAAATCCCATAGTCCACCTTGGGAGGGAGCAAGAGAAGGTGGTTACATTCCTACATACAGTTGGACCATGGAGAACAACAGCAGCAAAAAAAAGACATTTGGAGGAGGTTGGGAGCAATAGAAGGTACTCTTTGAGTTAAGAATACATACTGTAGTTAATTCAAGAGTTAAGTGTCACTTTAAAGTGATATCAAAGGCAATTAAAAAAAATTAAAATAACAAACATGTCATACTTACCTGCTCTGTGTAATGGTTTTGTGCACAGCACCCCCGATCCGTCTCTTCTCGGGTCCCCCGCTGGCGCTCTTGGCCCTTCTCTTCTGCCGAGCACCCCCAGAACAAGCAATGTGTTATGGGGGCACCCGAGCCGCTGCTCTGAATGTCCACTCCCACACAGAGCCATGGCTCAGCCCTGCGCTGCCCCTTCTCTCTCATTGCTCAGCCGAGGCTCACGTGCCCATCGCAGGATCATGAAGGGCTCAGATAAGTATTAGGGGGGCCGGGGGGGGGGGGGGGCTGCTGCACACCAGAAGGTTTTTTTTTTTAAACTTTGAGCCTTTACAACCACTTTAAGCCCTGTTGTGGCCTGACAGCAAACCACTTTTTCAAGGACTTAGTGTTGTCAGCCTTAACCAGTGTTTTTTTTTTTTATAAACTATTCAACCAATCTTAAGATAGATAGTTTTTTTTTCTTCATTCAGCCAGCACATAATCAAGGTGGATGGGGGAATCCTCCCTGTTAAGACATTAGGACTGATTTATCAAAACTGGAGAGTGCAAATTCTGATGCAGCTCTGCATAGAGTATTACAAGGAGGAGCGTTACAAGGGGATACACTGAGCTCCCAATCCTCTTGTCTCATTAATTGAGGTCATATAACCTGCTCTACTGTATGTAAACTATAAACCCCATAGTCCATCTTGGCAGGGAGCAAGAGAGGGTGGCTACGTTCCTACATACAGTTGAACCATAGAGAACAACAGCAACAAAAAAAAGACATTTGGAGGAGGCTGGGAGCAATAGAAGGTACTTTTGGAGTTAAGAATACATACTTTATTTAATTCCAGAGTTAAGTGTCACTTTAAAGTGATATCAAAGGCAATTTAAAAAAATTAAAATAACAAACATGTCATACTTACCTGCTCTGTGCAGTGGTTTTGTGCACAGCACCTCCGATCCGTCTCTTCTCGGGTCCCTCATCGCGCTCCTGGCCCCTCTCTTCTGCTGAGTGCCCCCAGAACAAGCAATGTGTTATGGGGGCACCTGAGCCACTGCTCTGCATGCCCACTCCCACACAGAGCCATGTTTCAGCCCCGCACTGCCCCCTCTCTCTCATTGCTCAGCCGAGGCTCACGTGCCCATCGCAGGATTGGGAAAGGGCTCAGATAAGTATTAGGGGGGCTGCTGCACACAGAATTTTTTTTTTTTTTTAAACTTTGAGCCTTTACAACAGAGGTGTCAAACTGGCGGCCCTCCAGCTGTTGCCAAACTACAATTCCCATAATATAAATCAAAAGTGCAGCGCTTGAAGAAAATCACAATATGAAAATAAATATATATACATCATAAATAGACAGTTCGTTAGGTGTATAGATATCATTAATTAGATAGTTCAATAGGTGACTTAGAGTGACTTCAGGTGCTCTCATGTGACTTTGTCCTCCTATGAGTAAGGTACTGTGATATAAAGTGCGATAAAAATGCGCACTCACCAGAACCCACAGTATAATGAGCGTTTTGTTATATTTTTCTTGATGTCATCTGCCAATCTGGATGATATCTGGAGTCCGGTATATTCCCTCCTATGGTCCTGGAAGCTATTAGTGGGACATCAAGGTGGTCCAGAGCTCCCTCTCAGGTGATAGCTTTGGTGCTGCCTTCTGTAGATTGTAAAAACTCCCTCTCCAATGGTTAGGTGGGTAGCTGCGAATTAATACTCCCCAGGGGAGTCAAAGCAGAGACATCTCAATAGTGTAGTAATAAATAGCATTTATTGAGGCATATGCAAATATCCTTATAAAAAGGAGCAGGTTAAAACAATGTGGACTGACCATCCAGAGTGTAAGATGGCCGCCGGAGCTCCATGATGCTCGGCGGCGTGACGTCACGGCGTTGTTGGCTCCTCCTACGCGTTTCATGCACACACACGTCATCTGGGGGGATTTGCCAATAACGCCGAGCCGTGTGACGCCAATTTATATGCTAGGCGCATGCGCGTTCAGAGGTGCGCCATTTTCAAGGAGACAGTCCTGTGTCCTTACTGATATGCGGGCGCCATTTTCTTAAGGTCATTTTCGGTCTGGAGTAGCGTTATTGCTATTATATATGCGCCTTAATGACCATGGCTAATATTCTAAGAGAACTACTAATAGGTACTACGGGTACAAAGAACAAATAACATACACATGTATGGTATCCCTGCGATCATCAAGAGCTAGAGAATTTATTTTGGGTTGTTCTTTGGTGGTAGGTTATGCTAGTAACAAGAAACACACAGCTAAATACTAAAAATGATTTTTTTTTTTACTATTTTGGGCCAGTTTTTCTTTGATAATAAAAAAAAATCAGGAGATATCCATTACCATTTACCACCAAATGAAAGCCCAATTTGTCCTGAAAAAAAACAAGGTATAATCAACCTGGATGTACAAAGTAGTTGTGATGATATGTACGGTTTTACTAACACATGTCAACGTTGCAAAATTCTTAGGCATTTAGATTTGTTTTACCCTTAGGTGTGAAGGGGTTAATAGCAAAAAGTTCAAAATGTTGGGTTTTTTTTCTCAAAATTGTCAGTCTTTTTTTGCCTATAGCGCAAAAAAGAAAATCCGCACAGGTGATTTTAAAATTCGTGTAAAAAAGGGACGTAAATTTAATTTGGGTGCAGCGTTGCACGACCGTGCAATTGTCAGTTAAAGTAACACAGCGCCGTAACACAAAAAATGGCCTGGTCTGGAACGGGGGATAAATCCTCAGGAGGGCAAGTGGTTAAGCTTTCTAAGTTTATTCACATACATATATATAACACAAGCTGGGGCAGACTGACAACTTATGGGGCCCCCAGGCAATAGGGGATCATGGGGCCCCTGTGTCCTTGCCAAAACTCAAAAAGCCTATGAAAAAGGTACCAGGGTCATCTCATGGGGCCCCCTACTGACCCCGGGCCCTCGGGCAGTGCCCGAGTTTCCAAATGGTCAGTCCGCCCCTGAACACAACTTATGTTGTACAATAAAAAATCAATACAAGCAGACTGTGGGGTTGATATACTAAAGGTAAATAGGCTGTGCACTTGGAAGGGCACTGAAAGTGCAGCTGCTCTAGATCTGAGGGGAACATGCAAAGAAAATTAAAAAAAACTGCATTTTTGCTTGCACATGATTGGATGAAAGAAATCAGCAGAGCTTCGCCTCATTTCAGAGCTTCCCCTCGGATCTAAAGAAACTGCACTTGCAGTGCACAGTATATTTACCTTTAGTAATTCAACCCCATAGAGTACTTTAAACATTACCACATAATTATTCTTCTTGTTATACAAACAACATGTTAAAGCGGAGCTCCCTGTGAATAATTGGCACCTTTGGGGAGTGGGTACCCGATTTTGACAGATCACACTTCCGTTCTGACCACCTAGACGATCAGAAGCGGAAGCTGTCCTCCCCCCTCCCTTCCTGAAGTCTTTCGAGACACGTGACAGATCCCAGCAGACTACAGACCATTCAAAAGGTGCAGCGCTACTCCTGCATGTGCAGTGGGCACCCGGCTGTGAAGGCACAAGTTGTCACAGCCGGGTGCCCACACTTAAAATGCAGTCACCTAGGAGAGCCAGTGAATCTGGCTGGTGTAAACACACTGCAGGACCATAGGACAGGTCGGTGGCTACAGTTTTTGTAGCTGCTGACTTTTTTTTCAGATGAGACTGGAACTCCCCTGTAAGCATGTTCATTTGCCAAAAAATTGACAATCATGTGCCAGGAAAATAAATAAAAACAATTCAAAACAACCCGTTCCCTTCAAAGAAAACATTGGCCCTGATTTACTATAGTAAAGCATGTTCACTTTTAATGTGAATTTTCACTTTGCAATGTAAATGAGGTGAAACAAAGTAAGCATTAACTATGCAAAAAAAATACTCAATCGTGCGCAAGGGGGAAAAAAACATGATTTTTGCTTGCACATGATTGGATGAAGTCAGTACAACTTCATTAAGTTAAGTAAAAATTCAGCTTGCAAAGAAAAAATTCACTTAGCTTAATGAATGTGTTGGCTGATTTCAACCAATCATGTGTGAGCAAAAATCACACAACAGAGACTCTTTAAAACAAGCCCACACTGATCTCTGTTTAATCTGGAGCTGTGGATTAATTCATCCTCAAAATTTTCCAGCAGATTTTTTTTTACTTTCATTTTCTCCCTGCAGAGATTTGCCAACTTTCCAACTCTCTAATGTTTAATAAAAACAAAGAATAGGAGCTCTGGGAAAAAGAACCAGAGAATAGAGAGCAGAGAGAACCATCTTAAATGATTTCAGTTATTCTTCTGTGAAACATGAGGATAAATTGCTTCACATTATCTGAAGCTACAAAGGTCTGCAAGGGAGTGTTTGAAATTCCATTTGCTGCTGGTTAAGAATGTAACAGAACCGACCCAGACTGTGCTTGAGTACTTCCGTTAAAATACCGCTTCCCTGTCCGAACACCAACAACAGACACCACAGCCGACCATACAAGACTAGACGACACCAGTCTTGAAGTAAACCAGGAGGTAGACTAGTTTATTTGAACACAGATACAAGATATATACACTAAGGGGACAATCCCCCTTCCCTGCATAATGAGCCAGGGTGGGGCAATCTACATTTAGTAACAAGAGACCTACAATTATTCAAACTTCACACCAGCAGACAGTCCCATCAGGAGGGTGGGCTGCTGGAGACCCCCCCCCCACTAAGCTAATACACGTAACATTAAACAATCTACAACCCCCCCATACGGGCATTATTACTTCTGGGGTACTAAAAAAAAAATCACATACACATATGTGGTATTGCTGTGATTGTCGGGAGCGGGGGAATTTATTGTGGGTTGTTCTTTGGTGGTAGGTTATGGTAGTAACAAGAAATATACAGCCAAATTTAAAAAAATATATATTTTTGTGTACTATTTTGAGCCAGTTTTCCTTTAATAATAAAAATGTAAATTGTCTTGAAAAAAAAAAAGGTATAATCCACTTGGATGCACAAAGTAGTTGTGATGACATGTACAGCTTTACTAACACATGTCAAAGTTGTAAAAAATAGGGGGAAAGAAATTTACTTTGTTTTACCCTTAGATGTTAAGGGGTCTATAACCTGACCACAGGTTCACTTCAGGGTTCGGTTGTGCCATTTAATGCCCAACTCCAGGAACTCTGGACAACAAAGATGTTGCTTCCTGAACATTTTTTTGGTGTATCTTGTAGATTTTTGCCTCCTAATCATGAAAATAACCTGTAATTTACCCTACCATAGTGGGGGCCACTGAAGGAACCAACTAAAGTGTGAAATAAGGTAAGTATTTTTAAACCATTTTAAAGAAACCTTCTGTTTGTGAAATTCGCAATACCTCTATCTATACTGCACATAGGAAACATGGAACTGTTGTTGAGGCACACCCAGTACAACTGGATTATCTGTTGGGATCTAAAAGTAGTGGTTCTGCTGCTTGGAATGCAGCTTGGATATACCAAGTACTGTTGTTACATATTCAAATGGTAAAGTCATGCAAGAGAGTCACTATACATTAAAAAGAAATGGGCATGCCAAAAGAATCTGATTTCAAGGCAGAAAAACGTGACCCACTTTTTGACCCGACAAAGATTTTTTGGTCTCCACTTCACATAAAATTCAGATTGATGAAAAATTTTGTTAAATCAAAGAACAAGGAAGGTGAAGGTTTTTCGTTATTTGAGACAGATGTTTCCAAGAATAACTGATGCCAAAAGTTAAGGAAGGCACTGTTAGTCCACAGATCATATTCGTCATTAATGACAAACAGTTCAAAAATTCCCCAATCCTTTCTTACTCATGCATCTGCCGCATGGCTTGAGTTGGGACCCTTCAGGGTTCACATCTCGTTATCTTTAGCTAATACAAGACTGAGGCGCATTATGATTGTTGTTAGCTTATACTATTTTCGCTACACTGTTTTCTGTATGGGTTGTTCCTTTTTACGCAAATCTATGGAAAACTTTTTCTATAACTAAAGATTACATTAAAAAAGTTATTTAATTTTTCTCAAGATTCCTTTGTTATAGTCATTGTGAAATTATATTTGTGTTCAGTTTGAAGGGGTCTATCATAATCACCAACATTTTTTCAGGAAGCAACAAATGTTTGAACAAACCTATTCTCCACGGGAATTTAAAAAAAATCTACTCTTGCAGTGGAGGCCCCCAACACCACAAGGGATAAATGCTTCTTATGTCTAGGGGCACTGCAATAATAAGTAAATACTTACCTCATTCCACGCTCTACCAGGGTCCCTCCAGTGGTCCCCAGCACAAACAATACAAAGTTAACAGCCCTGAATATTATTTGGTGATGCCCACAGACTGGAGCTTTGGGAAGAGCCATCCAGAATAGGAGATAAGGTAAGTAACCATATCTACTCCTGTAACCCCTAGATATAACAAGCATTTAACCCTTGTCCCACTGCAAGGGCAGATTCTTTCCTATTCTTGGAGTTGGGCTCTAAGATATTCTAAAACATTAGAAGTCTTTTTTCTATATCAGTGATTTTGATTGGTCTGTAAAATTTGTGTTAAATGACACATAAAAAAACATAATACATGATACAAAGGGATTTCATTGAACCTTCAATAAATACAGTATATACCATAAACTGCATAACAATCCCAGAGTGGGTGGCTGATGTTTATTGTAAACATCTCAAGGAGGAGACTGATATTTATTGTAATGATTGATGCCAGAGACACTTTAACCATTCTTTTCAGATATACAGTACATGACTCAAAAGTATATCAGTCAACAATGTAAAAAGAAGAGTTAATGAAAGCAATATCTGATGTACGGCATGATGTACTGTATTTGTCCTAATAGAAGCCATGATCCCCTTGTCATCTTCTAAGCAGCATTTTGGCAGGAACAACTTTTTTCCAGAGCACCAGAGTCATCTAATAAGAACATACTGAAATTTCAATATAGTAGTATAGTAGAGTTTTGGTCTTCTTCAATAATGATGTTCAATAATCCACACCAACCTATCATCTTTCATTTCTACAATTTTTGAAATTGTAAAGGTTTTAATAATCTTCTGTACCTGTAGAAGAATAATTACAAACAACCCTTGTGATTATCAAGTTGTTTCTGAATTGTTAGTATGTGAATACAGGAGATTATGGGGGTTGGGAAAGCTCATAATGACAGATACTGTATGTCATCATCAGGGCTTTTTTTCAGTGGGAACGTGGGGGAACGCATTTCCGGCACCTCCATCACTGAATGTATGTGATGGCCAGGGGTGCTGAAGGGGCTATTGATGCTGGCTGCTGGGGGGTCTATTGTTGATTTGGGGGTCTGTTGTTGCTGTTAGGGTATCAACTGTTGGTGGAAGGGGTCTTTTTTTGTTGTGGGGGTCAATTGTTGCTCGGAGGGATCTGTTGTTGAGGGAGGGGTCTATTGTTGTTGGCTGTTAGAAGATCTAATGATGCTGGCTGCAGGGAGATCTATTGTTGCTGGCAGGGGACTATTGTTGCTAGGGTGGATCTATTGTTCCTAGGGGTATTTTGTTGTTGGGGGATCTATTTTGCTGCTTTATTTGTTATCATTAACAAATACCATATCAATTACATTACAAAATACTGATACTTTGTTCTGTATTCTCTGAAAGGGGCAGGTGGGTGGGGGTAGACACAAAGGGACGGTGCTTGGAGGTAGGTAGGGGTACCTGCATCTATTATCTGAGAAAAAAAGCCCTGGTCATCATTATAATGAAAGATTATCCAATCTGTTATGGATCAGAGAAAAAGAAATATGTAGTTTGTACACATCTTTATTAGTTTTTATGTTCAGCCTTGGTTGTACTAAACATTTCATGACAGTAACAAGTGGTAACTCTATATGTTTTCCTGGCAGATTACATTCTCATATTCAGGACAGACTTTTAATGAAAACGCTGCCAGCGTGACTTGTATTGTTTGATATATTAAATACTACCTTAAATACTACCATGGAAAGATCTGCACCCTTTCTAGTGACATCCAATCCTCTTTGTGTAGAAGCATTCTAATTAACTCTGTGTGTTAAAGTCAGGCATTCAGTCACAATTCCGATAGCTCATGTTGCACAGATAATGCTTTATGACACCAGCCTTAAGAACCGTCTAGCACACCTTTAGTTACACTACATGAAACCTTTCATTTTAATCATTCCCACCCTAACACTGAGGGTGCTAAAATGAACAATAAGATAAATATGTTTTACATTAGCCTTTTTACACAGCATCCATTTAGACCTAAAACATTAATTTAAAACAAACAATGAGATAAATATTAAACACAGTCCGGAAAAGTAAAAAAACAGGGATTTACTGCTAAACACAGTAGGTTTGAGACCAGAGGCAACCAAAACTGAGGTCATATATGCATGAATCTACAACCAATGCTACTTATTTACGCTTTGGGAAGTATAGGTTATAACATTCCGGCAACAAAATGCACACACAAAGATTTCAAATTGCCCATTACTGCTTTCAGGTTGGAAACATCACTATATAACTAATGGGTGAGTGCAGGGCTGCTCTTAGAAGCCATGGAGCCCCATACAGCAAACCTGACAGGGCCCCTCAAAAAATAAAAAAAAAACTGTTTACTATGCTTCAGTTGTGAATGAACACAATGAGTGATTGGTACTGATCACCAGGGCTGCTGTTAGAAACCATGGGGCCCTATACAGCCAACCTGACAGGGCCCCCTAAAAAAATAAACACACAGTGTACTATGCTTCACTTATGAATGAACACAATGAGTGATTGGTACCGATCATCAGGGCTGCTGTTATAAACCATGGGGTCCCATACAGCCAACCTGACAGGGCCCACTAAAAACCCCCCACAGTTTATTATGCTTCAATTATCAATGAACACAATGAGTGATTGGTACCATTCACCAGGGCTGCTGTTAGAAACCATGGGGCCTCATACACCTGACAGGGCCCCCTAAAAAAAACCCAGTTTACTATGCTTCAGATATGAATGAACACAGTGAGTGATTGGTACCGATTACTCATGGTGTTCATTCAGGAAAGGAAGGGGCTGGTAAATGTGACATATTTACCGGACCGTTGCCACAGTCTCTATCCTGAAGGTTTCTATCGTGTGCTTGCAGCTGCCAGTGAGAAGGAGAGGAGGGAGGCTGGCAGCACTGTAGGGGTGGGGGCACGGACACCAGAGGGAAAGGTATGGTGCACATGGAGGATGATGGGTGCAGCGGGGGGATTACTGGAACCGATCCCCTGTAACGCTCACTCTGAAAGCGAGCAGGAGGGAGAAGAGAAGAAGCCAGCTTTCAGCCACTGCAGAGAGAGCCATACAGGGGATTGGTTCCAGTAATTGCCCCCCCTCGCGCTGTGCCGATCACCCACCCTGCCAATATCCAATTCACCCAGCTACCTGGGCCCCCCTGCTGTCCTGGACCCCGTATAGGAGGACTGGTGGTACCCCCCTGATTCACCATAAAACGGAGTGTTGGTATGAAGCTTAACTCTGGCCATAACAGACAACATTACTTTTTTTAAATTTAAAAATGTGAGATTCACAAGTCAAAGATAAGTGCATAGATTCACTTGTACTCTCTAGAAGAAATCAAGACCTCATTCAATGGAAATGATCACTTCATCAAAAAGGATAATAAAAAGTACTCCTAGCCACCAATCATCTTTGCACCTATCTTTTTATATCTTTTTAACTAACTTTTTGACTAGCTTACTTTAAAAATAAAATAATAAATGCCCATTTTTTTTTGCAGGTAAAAAATGTGCATTTACTATTATTTTTTTTGGAGCCTGGAAAGCATTGCATCAGTGATCAACAGATTGCTGGTACCATGCAAGTCTCCTGCAGACAGTCAGTGTATCTATGTGCTCGTACCTCATACAGGCAGACAGTTTTACACTGACAGGAAGACTCAATGAACTACTACAGCACTGTCATAGTTCGTTGAGGACTACAAGCCGACATCCACAAAGGATGTTGGGACTTGTTTTTCCTTTATTCACAGAACTCTGTGAATGACTGATGTGGTCATGTGGGTGGAGCCCCGCATGGCAGCGCTGTTTTAAAAAAGTGACAGCTA